ATATGAGCAATAGGGGTTAAACGGGACTGCCCAGTATGGGCCAATAGGCTGCAGTTTCTTCCATTCTTATGTTCTTATGTTTATAAGCAAGGGGAGGCAAGGGAGTGAAAACAGGGGCAAGGAAAGGGAGTGAAGGGAGGGAGGGAACAGTAGAATCCCTCAGTACTCAAGAATATTTCCTACCCTTGGTCTGACAGTTACCAGTACACCCCAAAAACACACACACACACACACACACACACACACACACACACACACACACACACATACATCACACAGCCAACCATCTCCGGCCTCACAACACCACCCAGCCTTCACCTCACACGTCACCAACAATAACGGTAAACAAACTCATTTTCCCCGCGTATAGTGTTATACCTTAGTCTTCCGCTAATTTTCCGTGGATACTTTTGCGGAAATATCAATCTATCGTGTCTTTTTCCCCGTGCTTCTTTTTGGCGAGATATGTCGAGCCTTCCAAAATATCAACCCATCATTTTTTCCCGCGCATAATTTGGGCGGGAAATATCAACCCATCATGCTATTTTTCCCCGCGTATACTTTTGGCGGGAAATAATAAGCCATCGTCATCATTCCATTTTCCCCGTGCATACTTTTGGAGGGAAATATCAAAGCTATTCCTTTATTTTTCCTACAAGATGAGGGAGGGGAGGGGGGAACTTTGATTAGAGGGTTGGCTCCTACACGCCAAAAATTCCTCCCAACAGAAATCATGGAAGACTTTGAAGAGACAGGGAGAAAATAAGGTTAACAAATGAAGGATGTTATATATTCTTAGGTAATAAACTTGACACTGTTCTGGCAGATGAGATTTTAACATCCTTGACACTTTATATTTTTGTTACTAGTAATATTTATTGTAGTTAGTTCTCCCTTATATAGCGAGTCAAATGAGCAACTGTGAAAAGTCCCTTTATACAGTGAGTCAAATGAGCAACTATGAAACTTAATCCTAATCTGACGTCCAAATGATGCAATAACTCATTACATACCGCAATTAGGTCATTTCTGTGAGTTAATTACATGATAACTAAGACACAGGACTCGTACAATGAGTTATGAAGGGGATAGATCACTCAGTCGCTTAATAACTCGCTACATTGTTGAAATTCTTTTATTATAAGTGAGTGGTGTTATTAAATCGTGGTCAGGTTTAAGAGGTGGTGTTAGATTGAAGATCTCTTCTCTCTCTCTCTCTCAGGTAGAAGTTTATATCGTGTGTCAATGCCTTGGAATCAACGAGAGAGAGAGAGAGAGAGAGAGAGAGAGAGAGAGAGAGATGGGGAGAAAGATAGAACAACGAGAGAGAGAGAGAGAGAGAGAGAGAGAAGAGAGAGAAGAGAGAGAGAGAGAGAGAGAGAGAACAAAAAAAAACAAGAGATGAGTTCACGAAGAAGGGGGGGGGGAGAGAGAGAGTCGACCTAACACCGTGTAGAGGTCATAAGCAGTAAACACACTGAATTAATAAGCCATTTACCCTCCACAATGCTAGAGGTAAATTAGTGAAGGCTGTTTACCGAGGCACCTCCGCCAGACCTATACATTATGCTCGGTTGGGTTAGGTTAGGGTTGGGTTAGGTTAGGTTAGGTTAGGTTAGATAGATCTTGGTCGAGGTGGGTTAGGTTAGGGAGGTCTGGGTTAGGTTAGGTTAGGTTAGGTTAGGTTAGGTTAGATAGATCTTGGTCGAGGTGGGTTAGGTTAGGAAGGTCTGGGTTAGGTTAGATAGATCTGGGTTGGTTGGATGGGGTGGGTTAGGTTAGGTAGGGCTAGGTTAGATTCGATTCAATTTTGTTAGGCTAGGTTATGTAAGGGGTTATTAGGTTAGGGTGGCTAGGTTAGTTTAGTGAGGGTGTAACGATAGTGTCAGAAGAGGAGCGCACACAACCTAACCTAGCTAACTCTTAATAAATGAAGGGGTAGAGGAGGGTTATTACCTGTGTGAGTGACAGTAATCAACGCACCTTATAAAAATTTCACCTGCTGAACACCTGAGGGATTGCGAGTAAGCCTATCTAGTGGTGGTAGTTGTGGTGGTAGTGGTGGTGGTAGTGGTAGTTGCGGTGATAATATCATTTATTTGCTCTCTCTCTCTCTCTCTCTCTCTCTCTCTCTCTCTCTCTCTGTCTCTCTCTCTCTGGAACCTAATGCCACAGTCCCATTGTCTCAAGAGAGATGTAACCCCCTGGTGGCCGTTTAGAGAACTGATTGTCTTCGCCTTTGAGGGGGAGGGAGGGGAGAAGGAGGGGGAGACGATGAGGGGAGGGAGGGGGAGGAAACCGTGAAGGTGAGGGATGGGGCGAGGGAAGGAAGAGGAGGGGGAGGGGAGATCGCTGTTTCTGGGCCAGATTTCAACAGTGCCTTGACCTATTGTCTTCAGATTAGCTGTACACGTTAGTCAGTGGTGAGTTAATGTAAGCTGCTGTGTTCCCTTCCTTCCTTCCTTCGTTACTCCTTACCCCTCCATGTCCTTCTATAATCCTCCTCCTCTTCCTATCCCCTTCCCCCCCCCTCCTCCTCCACGTCTGTTTTAATTCCTCGTTGTTAGTGTTCGTACGTCTGTATGCCTAATTACATATTTAATCACCCATAAAACACACACATACTAAACCTCCCCTCCCTCCCCTCCCCCTTCCCCTCCCCTCCCCCCAAGAAAAAATAATACCCCAAAATTACTACGAGGAAAAAAGTAAAAGATAAAATTAATATGCAAATTACTGTCATAAAGATTGGATAGAAAAAAAAAATATTCGAAAAGTTTATAATATGGAGAAAACCAAAAAAAAAAAACTCAAAATTACAATATTATTAAGTCTCTCCTCCCCCTGTGTAATTTTTAGAAGAGGTCGTTATTCCAGCAGAGATGAATCCAGCTCAGGTCAACACTTTTACCTGTCCTCAAAGGGCTTAGCGGAAATAATGATTTACCTAACTAACATAAGAGAGATACGGGTTATATTTATTCGTTTAGTTACGCCTGAAATTATTAAACGTTTTCTATAAAGGGAAAAAAAACTTATAAATTTCTTCCCGTTTTTTTTTATGGTATTGTGAATATATATTTTAATTAATTGGTGGGAAAAATATATAAAAATCTTCATATATTTCAATTATTTTCTTTATATTATCTCCAACTTAAAGGTTCTAGGTTAATTAAATAAAAAAATTACATTCGTTTTGGTGTTTAAAAAATAATAAAAATTACATCCAATTTATATTCTTGTAATTTTAAGTACAATATATTATCCTGATATATTAAATGGAAAACAATTGTCTCCCGTATTTACAAACTGCTGTAATTTACTGTTTTATAAAGAAGAGAACTTTTTCCTAACATTGAGTGATACAGTAATGTCTACATGATTCATTTTAAAGAGAAACGGTGAAGACTGTAGCGAGGCTTGTAGAGGTGGAGGGAGGGTGTGTGGTGGAGGGAGGGTGTGTGGTGGAGGGAGGGTGTGTGGTGGAGGGAGGGTGTAGGCGTGGAGGGAGGGTGTGTGGTGGAGGGAGGGTGTGTGGGTGGAGGAGGTGTGTGTGTGGAGGGAGGATGTGTGGTGGAGAGAGGGAGATGTGGGCGTGGAGGGAGGGTGTGTGGTGGAGGGAGGGTGTGTGGTGGAGGGGAGGGTGTAGGCGTGAGGGAGGGTGTGGTGGAGGGAGGGTGTGTGGTGGAGGGAGGGTGTGTGGTGGAGGGAGGGTGTAGGCGTTAAAGGAGGGTGTAGGCGTGGAGGGAGGGTGTAGGCGTGGAGGGAGGGTGTAGGCGTTAAAGGAGGGTGTAGGCGTGGAGGGAGGGTGTAGGCGTGGAGGGAGGGTGTAGGCGTTAAAGGAGGGTGTAGTAGTGGAGGGAGGGTGTAGGGGTGGAAGGAGGGTGTAGTGTCCTGTATATTGATAACACCCAGACGGCTGACGACACCTGGTGAGCTTAAGTTACCTCATTTACATACAAATTACCGAGGGTCATGGTATTAATATTTAACACTTAACTTATTTTTTTACTCTTTCATTATACCGCAGGCGGGTGATGTGCGAATAATCTCCATCAGTCCGTGCGTGTGTTTACCTCTCTCCGTGCGTCCATCCATTCGTCTATCCCCTCCGTGCGTCCATCTACCTTCCATGCGTCCGTCTACCCCTTCCGTGCGTCCGTCTACCCCTTCCGTGCGTCCGTCTACCCTTCCGTGCGTCCGTCTACACTTCCGTGCGTCCGTCTGCCCCTTCCGTGCGTCCGTCTACCTTCCGTGCGTCCGTCTACCCCTTCCGTGCGTCCGTCTACCCCTTCCGTCGTCCGTCTACCCCTTCCGTTACGTCGTCTGCACCCCTTCCGTGCGTCCTCTGCACCCACCCTGCGTCCGTCTACCCACCCTGCGTCGTCTACCCCTTCCCTGCGTCGTCTACCCTTCCGTGCGTCCGTCTACCCCACCCTGCGTCCGTCTACCCCTTCCCTGCGTCCGTCTACCCCACCCTGCGTCCGTCTATACATCTTGTCCACGCGATAACTTAAATTGTTTTCATTATATTTTGTTATAAGTTAATACGTGAATGTAACTCCTTAAGATCTTGGATGAGTTCGATAACTACTGTATTCCTTTCAGGTGTTGAGAAGTTATGGGTGTTTTTGTTCCTATGATGATGACAGTGAGGGGATGGTAGGTCCCTGTGGTCAGTCTGGTGTGTTTACGTCAGTACAGTAAATAGGAAGGTGGATGTTTTATTGTTTGTTTTTTTGGTGTTGATGTTTTTTTTTTTAGTTATTTTTTGCCAAACTCTCTCTCTCTCTCTCTCGCTTTCTCTCTCCATCTATCTATCACTCACTGTCTGTCTGTATCTAGTATATATCTGTGTATCTGTCTATATCCCAGCCAGCAAATATCACACCCACACCCACACCCACCCACACCCACACCCCACCCACACACACCCACACACACACACACACACACACACATACACACTATCATCATACTTAAAGCCAAGTAATGACGTCATGTGTCTTAATCAACACCCCCCCCCCTCCCTAGGCTTGGCTCACGGGTCGGTGGTGGCGCCGGAGGAGGGAGGAGGTGACGACGAGCCTGATGAAGGAGGAGGGAGGAAGGTGGAGACGTGTGATACCTGCCCCTACTTTCTTAACACCACCGTCCACGTCACCACCTCACAGGGCGTTCCTGCTAATCTTACCTGCGGAGTGAGGAACCTTGTTGACAGAAAGGTGAGTTGATTGTTGTTTGATGTGGTTGGGTTAGGTTAGGTTAGGTTAGGTTAGGTTAGGTTAGGTTAATTTGGGTTTCGTTAGCTTAGGTTATGTCAGGTTAAGTTAGGTTAGGGTAGCTTATGTTAGATTTGGTTAGGTTTCGCAAGTTCAGGTTAGGTTATGTTATGTTATGTTATGTTATGTTATGTTAAGTTAGGTTAAGATAGGTAATATTAAGGTAGATTAAGTTAGGGTAGGTAAAGTCTGGTTAAGTTAAGTTAGAGTTAAATTAAGAGAGAGATTAGGTTAGGGTAGTTGAATCTTAACCACAACCACCCACCAAAAATTAATTTACCCAACAACATTATTAATCTGACTAGAGTCTCCGTGTAAAATCGACGCCATAAAAAACCACCATCATACCTGTACCATTAACCTACCTTTTCCCATAACCGGTTAATGAAGAAGCTCTAAAAGTTACGAGGATGCTAAGAAGGTTTATTGTCTCAGGAGCCATAGAGTTTAATGTCTCAGGAGCCATAGAGTTTAATGTCTCAGGAACCATAGAGTTTAATGTCTCAGTAGCCATAGAGTTTAATGTCTCAGGAGCCATAGAGTTTAATGTCTCGAGAGCCATAGAGTTTAATGTCTCAGGAGCCATAGAGTTTAATGTCACAGGATCCATAGAGTTTAATGTCACAGGATCCATAGAGTTTAATGTCTCAAGAGCCAAAGAGTTTAATGTCTCAAGAGCCATAGAGTTTAATGTCTCAAGAGCCATAGAGTTTAATGTCTCAAGAGCCATAGAGTTTAATGTCTCAGGAGCCATAGAGTTTAATGTCTCAGGAGCCATAGAGTTTAATGTCTCAGGAGCCATAGAGTGTAATGTCTCAGTAGCCATAGTTTAATGTCTCAGGAGCCATAGAGTTTAATATCTCAGGAGCCATAGAGTTTAATGTCTCATTAGCCATAGTTTAATGTCTCAAGAGCCATAGAGTTTAATGTCTCAGGAGCCATAGAGTGTAATGTCTCAGTAGCCATAGTTTAATGTCTCAAGAGCCATAGAGTTTAATGTCTCAAGAGCCATAGAGTTTAATGTCTCAGGAGCCATAGAGTTTAATATCTCAAGAGCCATAGAGTTTAATGTCTCAAGAGCCATAGAGTTTAATGTCTCAAGAGCCATAGAGTTGAATGTCTCGTGAGAAATAGTTTAATGTCTCAAGAGCCATATAATTTTCAGTGCTCCTCCATCAAGTGTCTTAGTAGCATGGTAGGTTAGTATAGTATGCAAATTAGGTCTTTTTATCCCCTGGTCTTAAGTGGGTGTCGTCTAGAGCAGCTACCATCATAAGACCCTGGTTTAAGGTGGTGTCAAGACCCCCAGGGAACGATTTTGGGTGAGGTGTAGTCTGGGTGTGATCTTGGCGGCCATCTTTGTTTTTGGGTTGTGTGGGTGTGGTTAGGTTAGGTTAGGTTAGGTTTAATATAGATTTGGTTGGGTTAGGTTTGGTTAGGTTAAGTTGGATTAGATTAGATTAGATTAGGTTTGGTTAAATTAGGTTGGGTTAGGAATGATTTGTTTAGCTTATATTAGCTTGAATTAATTTGGGTTTAGGTTAGGTTAGGTTAGGTTAGGTTAGGTTAGACTTGTTAGTTTAGGTTAGGTTTAAGTTAGCATTAAGGTGAAATAAGCTGGGGGTGTCTTATCTTCACTTGACTTAACCTGTCTATGGTCGACACGGCAAATACATTCGAGGTTAGGTCAGAGGTCAAACTCATCTAGGTGGCTCTGTACCCTTTAATTATAACTCATATAGTATAGTTACTGTTCATGTATAGTTACTGTTCATGTATAGTTACTCTTCATAAAATGTATAAAAAGGTTTGATTTTACCCTAATTTATCCCTAACAGTTTTAGCGCAAAAAAAAAAATTAATTGGGTCTTTTGTGAGTTGATTACAAGCAATTACAAAAGGTTAATGAGATCATGACGTCCATTTTGGGTGGTTAATGCTGACGTCAGGCGCAAGAAACCTTTCCTACACACGTTCAGAAAAATTAAACCCGAACTTTTGGACAGGAAAATGTATAAAGTTTGTTTTTCTGGGGTTTTTTTTATATAATGGCGGCTATTTTGGATTGGGGTACACTGACGTCACGAAGACATTTAAGAGAGAGGAACATCTAAAGTGACATTTTTTAAAAGAGTTTCACAGTAACAATGACTCACTAGTTCTGGAGAGGAAGTCGAAAATGTGGAAAGTTTTGCGGTTGAGAACGAGAGGTCGACCGTACCAGCAGATGTAGAAGTAGTAGTAGTAGTAGTAGTGATAGTAGTAGTTATAGACGTAGCAATGATAAAAGTAGTAACAGTAGTAGTAGTAATAATGTTAGTAGTAGTGGACTTATACGAGAGGCCAACCATGATAGTAGGGGTATTTGTAAATTCTTTCTATGACGTCAACAGCAACCAAGCAGTGATGACGCAATGATTTTATTACATGTGGTTGATATGAGACTTGAGATTGTTTGGTAATTAAGCACAAGGTATCTCTCTCTCTCTCTCTCTCTCTCTCTCTCTCTCTCGAGTTGTTTGAAGTAATGTTTACCTTCAAGAAATTCTCAATCTATTCTTGTCTTGGAAGGAAGATTTCACATACCAAGATTATGCCTCTGGGAGCTTCTTGTCTTGACACACACACACACACACACACTAGGGGAGGAGGCTTAAAAGGTCACACGCCTGGCTGTAAATAATCCCACCAAACTCCTTGATGAGTCTTTGACCTTCAAGTGGTTTTTCCTCCTCGTCCTTCAAGTGGTATAGCTCCTCCTTCAAGTGGTATAGCTCATCCTCGACCTTCAAGTGGTATAGCTCCTGGAAAGATAGAAGCAACGACAAGGCTTTTTAACCTCTTCTCTCCCATCAATAAGAGAGAGACTGAGACAAGAGACGATGAGACAAGTATCTTTTTATAGTCAGGTGAGAGACGAGGTGAGATAATCATTACGAAGCACTTCACCTCCTTGAGAGACCTCTCACACAAATGAGGGGGGAGAGAGAGAGAGAGAGAGAGAGAGAGACTTAATCTCCTCCCAAACGAGAGACAGTACATCTTTCCTCATTTCCAAAATCTCCCCAAACCTTCTCTAGATTCCCAACCACCTCAGTCTCCCAATTTCTCCAAAATCTCCCAAACCTTCCTAGATCTCCCCACCCCTAAGTCTCCTCAACCACCCCTAAATCTCCCCCAAACCTTCCTAGATCTCCCCAACCACCCCTAAGTCTCCCCAATTTCCAAAATCTCCCCCAAACCTTTCTAGATTCCAACCACCCCTTAACTCTCCCAATTTCCCAAAATCTCTCAAACCTTCCTAGATCTCCCCAACCACCCCTAAGTCTCCCCAACTTCTCCAAAATTCCCCCCAAACCTTTCCTAGATCTCCCCAACCATCCCTAAGTCTCCCCAAATTCTCCAAAATCTCAAACCTTCCTAGATCTCCCAACCACCCCTAAGTCTCCCCAACCACCCCCAATCTCCCCACCTCCCAAATTCCCCCAGATCTCCCCTGACCGCCCCTAAACTTCCCTCAACATACCATCACTACCTGGGGTCGCCACTGAACTTAGTCAAAGGTGATGACGACAAGTCTTGGTGAGGTGAGGAAACTTTGTTCTCTCTCTCTCTCTCTCTCTCTCTCTCTCTCTCTCTCTGGAAGCTACAAGATGGTTGCCCTGGGTGTAGAAGCAGACGACTTTATTAATGTAGAACTTGACCGTGTGAACTTTATTAACCCTGTGAATTGAAGTTTATTAGAGGTGAGAGAGTGCCATTATGGGTGCTGAGCTAAGAGTGCCAGAAGGTCAGAGTGCCAGTGCCAACAGCGAGGGTCACAGCTGTTCAGTACGTTACGGGGTGGTTTTCCAATCTTGAAGAAAATGAGGTGGACTCTCTCTCTCTCTCTCTCTCTCTCCTCTCCTCCTTCACTTTCTTCCATTTCTTCTTTCCTCTCTCTCCTCCCTCCTCCCTCCTGTTTCTCTCTCTCCCTCCTTCACTCTCTTCCATTTCTTCTTTCCTCTCTCTCCCTCCCCTTCATCTCTCCCTCCCTCCTGTTTCTCTCTCTCTCTCCCCCTCACTCCTTCACTCTCTTCCATTCCTTCTTTACTCTTTCTCCCCATCATGTATCTACAGCGAACACAGACACACAAGAAACTGGAAGATTAATAAACAAAATTAACACCAAATAAATGTATAGATAGATAAAACACCAATAAACAAATACACACAAGAAAGAGAAGGATAGATAGAGTAAACCGATAAATGTGTGGATAGAGAAATAAGAATAACCACAGTGTTTTTATTACCAACTCTGCCCAGGAAGAGGAAATTTCTACGCGGAAGCATAGGGAAGTGTGTGTGGGCGTGTGTGTGTGTGTGTGTGTGTGTGTGTGTGTGTGTGTGTGTGTGTGTGTGTGTGTGTTTTGTGTGAGTCTTGTCTTGTGTGGCTCTGGCAGAGGTGAGCCCTTAGTGCGTGACAGGAGGTGGTGCCCAGTGTGCGGACAGGAGGTGGTGCCCGTGACAGTGTGGCGTGACAGGAGGTGGTGCCCCGTGACAGTGTGGGCGACAGGAGGTGGTGCCCCCGTGACAGTGTGGCGTGACAGGAGGTGGTGCCCCGTGACAGTGTGGCCTGGGAAAGGTGGTGCCCTGTGACAGTGTGTGGCCTGGGGAAAAGGTGGTGCCCCGTGACAGTGTGGCGTGACAAGAGGGGGTGCCCCGTGACAGTGTGGCGTGACAAGAAGTGGTGCCCCGTAACAGTGTGGCGTGACAAGAGGGGGTGCCCCGTAACAGTGTGGCATGACAAGAGGTGGTGCCCCGTGACAGTGAGACGTGACAGGGGGTGCCCCGTGACAGTGAGACGTGACAAGAGGTGCTTATGACAGAATGACAGCCGCTGTGATGCGACTGTCACAACCCAACAACTTGTGGTTTAGGTTAGGTCAGGTCAGGTCAGGTCA